TATGGCACGGGGAACACGTCACCTACAAATAACATCTACAAATACTACTAAACTCCTGTTTGTGTTAGAACAACAACAGGTCACACGGCACGCTATAGGAGCGATTAGTATGGCACGGGTGAACACATCACCTGCAAATAACATCTACAAATACTACTAAACTCCTGTTTGTGTTATAACAACAACAGGTCAGACAGCACGCTATAGGAGCGATTAGTATGGCACGGGAGAACACATCACCTATAAATAACATCTACAAATACTACTAAACTCCTGTTTGTGTTATTACAACAGGTCACACAGCACGCTATAGGAGCGACTAGTATGGCACGGGTGAACACATCACCTACAAATAACATCTACAAATACTACTAAACTCCTGTTTGTGTTGTAACATCAACAGGTCACACAGCACGCTATAGGAGCGATTAGTATGGCACGGGTGAACACATCACCTACAAATAACATCTACAAATACTACTAAACTCCTGTTTGTGTTGTAACATCAACAGGTCACACAGCACACTATAGGAGCAATTAGTATGGCACGGGAGATCACGTCACCTACAAATAACATCTACAAATACTACTAAACTCCTGTTTGTGTTAAAACAACAATAGGTCACACAGCACGCTATAGGAGCGATTAGTATGGCACGGGTGAACACATCACCTATAAATAACATCTACAAATACTACTAAACTCCTGTTTGTGTTATAACAACAACAGGTCACACAGCACGCTATAGGAGCGATTAGTATGGCACAGGTGAACACATCACCTACAAATAACATTTACAAATACTACTAAACTCCTGTTTGTGTTATAACAACAACAGGTCACACAGCACGCTATAGGAGCGATTAGTATGGCACGGGTAAACACGTCACCTACAAATAACATCTACAAATACTACTAAACTCCTGTTTGTGTTATAACAACAACAGGTCACACAGCGCGCTATAGGAGCGACTAGTATGGCACGGGAGAACACATCACCTACAAATAACATCTACAAATACTACTAAACTCCTGTTTGTGTTGTAACATCAACAGGTCACACAGCACGCTATAGGAGCGATTAGTATGGCACGGGAGAACACATCACCTACAAATAACATCTACAAATACTACTAAACTCCTGTTTGTGTTATTACAACAGGTCACACAGCACGCTATAGGAGCGACTAGTATGGCACGGGAGAACACGTCACCTACAAATAACATCTACAAATACTACTAAACTCCTGTTTGTGTTATAACAACAACAGGTCACACAGCGCTCTATAGGAGTGATTAGTATGGCACGGGTGAACACGTCACCTACAAATAACATCTACAAATACTACTAAACTCCTGTTTGTGTTATAACAACAACAGGTCACACAGCACGCTATAGGAGCGATTCGTATGGGATGGGTAAACACATCACCTACAAAAAACATCTACAAATACTACTAAACTCCTGTTTGTGTTATAACATCAACAGGTCACACAGCACGCTATAGGAGCGACTAGTATGGGACACGTCACCTACAAATAAGGGGGGTCTGACTTTTTGTGACGCGGTGCCGAGCGAGGGGGCGGGGTCAAAAATCGTCCAAAATCGCGTGACGTCAATTATGGACGGCCCGCTAGCTCGTATAGTGTAGTAGTGTATAGTGTAGTAGTGTATAGTGTAGTAGTGTAGAGTGTAGTGTATAGTGTAGTAGTGTATAGTGTAGTAGTGTATAGTGTGTAGTGTAGTAGTGTGTAGTGTAGTAGTGTATAGTGTAGTAGTGTATAGTGTAGTAGTGTATAGTGTAGTAGTGTATAGTGTAGTAGTGTATAGTGTAGTAGTGTATAGTGTAGTAGTGTATAGTGTAGTAGTGTATAGTGTAGTAGTGTAGTAGTGTATTAGTGTAGTAGTGTATAGTGTAGTAGTGTATAGTGTAGTAGTGTATAGTGTAGTAGTGTATAGTGTAGTAGTGTATAGTGTAGTAGTGTATAGTGTAGTAGTGTATAGTGTAGTAGTGTATAGTGTAGTAGTGTAGTAGTGTATAGTGTAGTAGTGTATAGTGTAGTGTAGTAGTGTATAGTGTAGTGTAGTAGTGTAGTAGTGTATAGTGTATTAGTGTGGTAGTGTATAGTGTGGTAGTGTATAGTGTGGTAGTGTATAGTGTAGTAGTGTATAGTGTAGTAGTGTATAGTGTAGTAGTGTATAGTGTAGTAGTGTATAGTGTAGTAGTGTATAGTGTAGTAGTGTATAGTGTATTAGTGTAGTAGTGTATAGTGTAGTAGTGTATAGTGTAGTAGTGTAGTAGTGTATAGTGTGTAGTGTATAGTGTAGTAGTGTATAGTGTAATAGTGTATAGTGTAATAGTGTACAGTGTAGTAGTGTACAGTGTAGTAGTGTAGTAGTGTACAGTGTAGTAGTGTATAGTGTAGTAGTGTATAGTGTAGTGTATAGTGTAGTAGTGTATAGTGTAGTAGTGTTGCCTATAGTGTTGCCTATAGTGTAGCGTATAGTGTAGCGTATAGTGTAGTGTAAATCCATACAATATTGTGTATAGTGTAGTGTGTAGTGTATAGTGTAGTGTAAATCCATACACTATTATTCCATCTGCCGTTCCATATGCAGTGTGGGTCGTCACCAGGTGTAGTTTAGGACGATATAAAGTCTAAGAATAGGCTTGCACCCAATCATGGCAATAAAAGTGGCGTTAAGATCCATAGCAGCTGTTTTTTTGTTCCCGTAAAACAGAACGTGGCCAATTCTTCACTAGAACAGCACTAGTGTAGCAGTGTAGCGTATAGCATAAAGCGTAGTTATCTAGTACAGCACTCGTGTAGTCGTGTAGTGTAGCATGTAGCGTAGTATACTAGTACAGCACTAGTGCAGTGGTGTGTAGTGTAGCATGTAGTAGTGTAGCATAGTATGCTAGTACAGCACTAACCAGTGTTGGAGAGCAAAGCCAAAACATTTAGAAAATAGTGTAAATGTAATTTGTAAGCTTTGTTGTCCGGTGAACAAAACGCAGACAGCAGGCATCGTCAGGGTCCAGGGATCAAACCCACGACCTCCTGTAGATCAGTCAAGGTAGTCAACATCTCCCTTGTGAGAGACGCAGACACAGGGTCCAGGGATCGAACCCACGACCTCCTGTACACCAGGCGATGTAGTCAACATCTCCCTTGTGAGAGAGACGCAGACACAACAGGGTCCAGGGATCGAACCCACGACCTCCTGTAGACCAGGCGATGTAGTCAACATCTCCCTTGTGAGAGAGATGGAGACACAACAGGGTCCAGGGATCGAACCCACGACCTCCTGTAGACCAAGCGATGTAGTCAACATCTCCCTTGTGAGAGAGACGCAGACACAACAGGGTCCAGGGATCGAACCCACGACCTCCTGTAGACCAGGCGAGGTAGTCAACATCTCCCTTGAGAGAGATGCAGACACAACAGGGTCCAGGGATCGTACCCACGACCTCCTGTATACCAGGCGAGGTAGTCAACATCTCCCTTGAGAGAGAGATGCAGACACAACAGGGTCCAGGGATCGTACCCACGACCTCCTGTAGACCAGGCGAGGTAGTCAACATCTCCCTTGCCACCGGAGCTAATTCACGCTACTTTCCAAACCCATTTTTTGGGGGGGGAGAGTGGGGGGGGGTTCAGGTAACAGAGTTCGTAAACCATGTTTTATTACAAACGGGCAACAGTCAAATTTCCGAGGACTTGGGCAGAGGGAGGGGGGGGTTGGGGAAAACAGGAAAAACTGGAAGCCAATTTATATTTTTCACTTCTTTATTTAAAAACATGGTTAACCGTCGAAGGGTGTACAAAGAAAATAAACATTGGTCACCGGACAAAAAGTTCGATTGAACAGCGTTACAAAGGACACGAACAAACCCCTCTTGCCGTCACATGCCATCGACAAACAATGGATATGGAGGGAGGGGTGGAGTGGGGGGGGATGAGATTTATTATTATTATTTAGAAAGAACCCACCTAACATTTTTCTCAATATAGTTTCTCAAAAACGTCCAAAGCTAAGAGGGGAGGGGGTCATCCACTACGAGGCTTAACGCAGCCTAAGGCACAAAACGGTGCGAGTGGCAAGCGTTGATAAAAACCACACGCGAAAAAAGCCACCCAACAAACCTCGAGTAAAAAATAATAATTCATTTTTAGAACATAACCTCTGTGGGTCAGCCAATTTGGTATTTATAAATTCATGTCGACATCACCCATCCCACTAAACCACCACCCAAAAAACAACAAAACCACGCAAGCTTTCGAGACCACCGTCATCCATTAAAATAAAAAAGGGCGTTGGGTTATAGATCGTGTAAATGCCTCGTTAAAAGCTTTGAGATTTGTAAAATGTTGTGGCTTGGCTCGCCAAAACACGCCGGTGTGCTGTACTAGTACACTAGGTGCCGTACTAGTGACGAATTGGCCACGTTCCGCTTAAGCGACACAAACCTTTACGAGTTGGCCGGGTTTTAAGCAGTTACTTACCCGATCAAACCCAAAAAACCTCTATCATGGACGACGGCATCGAATTACAAAAAAATGGATTCAAATGAAGGTGACCCTGGCCTATGGCTGGTGGTTTTTTTTTTATTTTTATTTTAAAACAAAGGTGACCGTTTGGAGAAGAATCTGCAGGGTCATGGAAACTGACCGGGAAAAAAAATATAAAGTATAAATAAACCCTGTGCATATGCTGATATTAACTATGTTTCCCTATTTGTATTTTTAAATTATATCTTAAAGCTATTTTATATTCGATATTTATTTAATTTTATATACTTCAGCCCCTTAGTGTTAGACTTTTAACCCTTATTATAGTAAGACTTGTTTAAAACTTATTTAAGATTTTAGATTCCTATATGTTGAATGTATGCACCATCCTGCCAAAGTAAATTCCGTGTCGGTGTGAACTTACATGGCGAATAAAACCCTTTCTGATTCTGATTCTGCAGTGTTGGGCACATCAGAATTTAAAAAAAAAACCGGTTTCTTTGGAGAGAATGCAAGTACATCGGGGCAGCCAGAAGCTCCAGGTTTCAGCCGTGGGTAATTTAAAACAATAAATTCAAAAACAAACACAAACCTGCAGCTTATGTGCCAAATGGTCGCCAACTTTAAAAAAGGTGGTGCTGGTGGCTGGGCAGTTCTAAAAATGGGCGTGTCACCGCCGCCTTGCTAATACAAAAGATGTTTTGTTCAGGTCTCCCGATGGATGCAATTGCACAAGGCTACCACCCAGTTTAAAAAAACCAAACAACCACCACCACCAATCCAAAGGCAGGTGGAGGAGGGGGGTGCGTGGGTGGGTGAAGAGGTAACTTCACAAAATGGCGGCCACAAATGGAATGTTTGTGGCGGCCATTTTACACAAAATGGACCCCACTCCGCATTTTGCCGGTCGATTTTTTTCTCCCCTCTGCCACAAATTTAAAAACAAAAAAATGGTTTAAAAAAGCGGTCAACTCTAAAAAAACGGCAAAAACAAAAAACCCGCCACCTTCAATTTGAATCCGTGCCTTTTTAAAAATGGACGGTAGATGCATTGTAATAGCGTCAAATTACAATTGAACAAAAAACCACAAATGTACAGAGGATTCCTTTATAAACGAAGCTAAAAGCAAATAAGTTTCATAGCAAGGTGTACAAAGCGAATGTCCAGTTTAAATATTAGCCAGCTACGATTATTTGCCGCGCGATCCAGACAGCCAAGTTGGTTCGTACGTGGGGGGTCGAGGAATGTTCAAGAGTTAACGATTTGTACAAGCTATCGATTGGGTTAACATAGTAATAATAATAAAAAAAAACACTTGTAACGATTTCACACTTTTATTAATCATTTAAAAAAATCAGATCGCTATTTAAGGCACGAACAAATAACAGGAGTTGGGGGAGAGGGGGACAATGGTTGACCTGTTGACAAAAGGACTTAAGACTCTCAAAATAGAAGGCAAAGAGGCAGAATTTGAATCGGTCATCTTAAAGATAATTCCAAGACTTTGGAGGGAGCCCCATGATAAAAAAAAAGTTTGGGTTATAAAAAGGTACAAACCAAAAAATGATCAAAAGCAATTCAACGATTTTTGTTTGAAGCCTCAAATAAAAAAGGGTATCGCAGCAGACAGTAGGGAGTAAGATGCCCACATTTGCAATTTATAACCATCCTTAAGAATGTTTAATGGGGTTTACACGATTTCAGGTTTACGGATAAGTTTAACCATCGGTCAATTCTCCCCCCCCCCCCAACGTAGGAGTGTGCATGGTCTCAAGGAGATCTGTGTTTTGTTTGCTTAAGAGGTTCGGTAGTTTAATCCAATAAGCATTTGGTTGAAGGATTTGGTTCAAGAGTTCCATAAGCAGGCACTCGTGACCAGAGAAGAATTTGGCCACAAATAAAAAGACGAATCCCATCCGTTTGACTGAGAAACTCTCGTCAACTAATTGACCATTTTTTACCCGAGACCACGATTTAGTTTAGCAGGGTTATTTATGCAAGAGTTCATGGCCATGATAACGTCCTATTGGGATGGTCTAAACCCCCCCCCACCCCAAAAAAAAGGCACACCAATTTGCAAATCACGATTTATACAATGGGCTGTAAATGCACCGTAAGGTTATTGAGGATGATATTAGAAGCCCGGTATGACAAGTGAATGTTAAAGTACTTGCATAGAAACTGTGTACCCCAAGTAGAGCACCATAAAAAAATGGGTTTATCGTCTTAGAGAGGGGAGCGAGAGCGAGAGAGAGAGAGATCGCTGAAAAAGGCCAACACCTTAATTAATAAAACATTTTTTTTTTCCAGAAAACGCAACGGGGTGCCCCAGACGCCTCCCTCCGGCACCGCCGCCAAGCGCGGTTGGAAATCGACACCTTTGTAAAAGAAAAAAAAAACTTTAAATCACACCCGGCACAAAAAGGTTGCTGGCCAAATCATTAAATTGGCGTGTCCAAATTCAAAAAGAGGATTAGTTAACGTTGAACTGAAACAAAGTCAATTTAAGGGGGGAGGGGAGGGAGTATTTGCGACATGGAGTTGAGGTCGTTCACAAAACTGTGACCACAACGGAATGTTGTGTGGCCATTTTAAAGATAGAGACAGGAGGAGGGGAGAGGGGGATCTTGCAGTAGACTCGAAAACGGCGTCGTCAAAATGTTTGAAAGCGTCAACCCGAATGTGAAAAAGGAGAATTCCAAATCTTAATTTGGAGTCTCTAACCTTCTAAAAACAAAAAAGGATGCATAGCAGTAACGTCAAATTACAAAGTGGCCAAAAACGTTAACGCTTTCATCGCAACAGTTCTGAAAATATTGAGCGATTTGTCGGGGGGGGGGGGGGGGGGTGAGAGACTTGGGGGGGAAAAAAAAACCACAAAAGCAGTTCTAAAGTCCTTCCAAATAAAATAAAATAAAAAAAACTGGCAAGAATGTTCAAAACCTTAGCGAGCAGGTAGTTTAAAAAACGGAATTTCGGATCTCAAATTGCAAAAACCGTGCGAAAGGTTTAAGCTGCCAGCGGTATTAAAAAAAAAACACCACACACATCTTAGGCAGGTTAACAAACCACAAACACACCATAGCAATTCATTCCCCGGGGTGGCACCATGCAAGACGACAGGGGGTGGAGGGGTAAACAATTACCACACGGCCCCCCTCCCCTTTTAAAAACACAAACTGCCCTTTTTCCACGGTACACGCGTCAAAGCAAGCGGCACAAAACGTGGCTTTTCAAAAGACAACGGCGCACACCCGTTGGCGCGAGGCAAACCTTTGCCATTCTAGTTGAAAAACAACGACGACAACAACAACGATGGCGTACACAAAACGGAATGGCGCTTGACAAGACCTAAAAGGGCCACTTGCGGGGGGGGGGGGGGGGGGGGGGGGGAAACTCAATCCGACCAGATTCTACTTTTCCACCTCCACCCCAGGACCTCCCTCACCCATCCACCCACCCACAGCCACCCACACACACACACACCACCACCAACCACCCTCACACGTAGTTGCTTCTCGCCGTGGCCACGGAGCGTGGCGGCGCGACCGACCGAGGCCCCATGTACTTCTCCTGCTTGGGGGGGCACTGGCAACAGAGCAGGGCGCCGCCCAGGATGAGCAGGGCGGCCGCGGCCCAGCCGATGTACATGGAGGCGCCGATCTCGCGCTTCATGGCGTCGGGCACTATGGGGTTGTAGAAGTCGCGGATGATGGTGTTGGCGGCCCACGACACCGGGATCAGCTCCATGACGCCCGACAGGATGAAGATGATGCCCGAGCCGACTGTGATGCGCGCCTTGGTGGTCTCGTCCTCGATGCAGGTGGTGCACTTGGCGCCCACGATGCTGACGAGGATGCCCAGCACGGTGAGGACGATGGCGATGACCGAGAGGGCTCGCGCTGCCTGCGGGCGGGGGGAGGAGGGGAGGCAAGCACAAGGGTGGGAGCGGGGGTTAGTAAACGGAGGGTGGGGGGGGAATGTTGTACAGAGAAACCTTGGGGTCGCGAGGGAGCACGATTTCGGTTCCGGGAAAAAAAAAAAAACACGTTTGTAATCCAAAACACTCGGCACATCGACAAGCGCTTCGAATGAAATCGTTCGCCATCACGTGTTCGCTCGGCAGTGCCAAGTGCGTCTTTACACGTGCACCGCTCGTATTGGCCAAGACCTCCCTCGCCTCAGCAAATTAATCAGTCATTTTAAATCGTTTTTGCTCGCCTTGCAAAAACGCTCGCAGACCAAGTCACTCGCAAGCCACACAAAAGTTTCCGCTCTGCACGGGGGAGAGAGGTCGGCGGACACTTGGTGCAAGCGACAATTAAATTTATTTTCGAACCGCTCTGCGGTTGGGTCTTCCTCCTCCCGACCCTCCTCGCACCTCCGATTTAGCACGGTTGGCTACGTAAGATGATGTGAGATGCCGTGTGGCTCAAGCGGACTGAAGCAGAGACTCTTGGGGGGGGGGGGGGTACCGAGAGAGTTTACGCAGCGCCTCGATCTCAATGAAGAGCACAAGCCATCACGAACACCCCCACCTCCCCCACCGGTCATCCCTGGAACAGCAGCGGCTGTTGGATAACCAGCGTGAAGACTGTCAACACTGCAAATCACATAGCACCTTCAGGACGTGCTTGTGGCCGTCTGGAACGCTCCCACCCACACCACTATTTAGGAATTCGCACGGCGCTATGCACCTGTTCAATGTAGATTGAGACGCATACGTTTAGAACTGCTCTGTATTTAGCGTGCCATTACCCACCCCGCACAACCCGCACCTCAGGATTAGCGCGGCGAGCTACGCGCGGTGCCCAAAGTTCCACGTACAAGTTGCGGCAGAAAAATTTACCCCTCGGGCGGGCGCATAGCCCAAATCGCGACGTAAAAGTAATGAAAAAAAAAAGCGTAGTGGTTACACGCATCCCATCGGATGCACGTTTCTGGGGGGAGTGCAACTCGCAACATCCACTTGGCACGGAGCACAAGCGCAGCCCCTCTGGGGGTCTCAGTCTTCCATCATTCAGCGTCTGGCCAGCAGCAGCAGCGCCAGGCTCCGCTTCAACCGCTTGGTTTCACCCACAAGCACTTTTGCCAAGGGAGACGGCAAAAAATAAAAAAGTGGAAACCAGCCCAGCGTAGCCAACGTTAAAACCGGCGGGGTTTCAAAGCAACGCCTGGGCCTGCCGACGAGAAGGCGAAAGTCAAAACGAGCCCAGAGTGCAACTTGTTATTAACCGAGCAGCCTGGCGGCTCTTGCTGCCAATGCGAAAACCGGAGTCTCCAGAAAAATCGGCGATCTTCGTTTGCACACCGGAGGAGGAATCCCGCAGAGGGACAGGGGGACCACGCATGACTTGCAGAGCAACCGCGCACCTAAGAGTCGTCAGCGCAGATAATCTAGTCCGCCCGAAGGTCCCAGTCGTCAGCGCGGATAATTGTGGGTCTGCCGCATCACAAAAAAAAGTCCGTCATTAAGGTTGCGGATAATGTAGAGCCTACCGTATATTTACAAACGGCTCTCTCCACTCCTCCCCCCCCTTCAAAAACGATGTCCAATTTTTTTTTTTTTAAACAACCAACACGGATGTCCACCCCCACGCCGCAACATTTTCGGGAGAGAGTCTCAAGGCGTGGTCAGCGTTTCGTCAAGGACCCCGCGGAGAGATTCCTGAATCGACGAGTGGCAGGGCCGGAGATGGGGGGGGGGGGGCAGAGTGAACGAGCGACGGTGGGTGGGGAGGGTAGCCAGTGTATGTGTGTGTGTGAGCGTAACGTAGCAACGTGATCAAGGTGTGTGGGGGAGGGTGGCAAGCACCTAACAACACCCACCACAAAAGCATAAAACTCCACAACCCCTGCCACACCACCACCACCACCTCCTCACAAAAGCCAAAAAAAAGTCCCCCGGCACAGCCTGGAAACAGCCGCGTGGGTGGCAAGTGGCGTTGGCACGCAACAGCGCCGGTGGCAAGGCCGGGAATTGGTGGGACAGCTAAGGGACCCTTAGGAGTCGGGATGGCCAAGATCCCCCAGAGGACACAAAGATCCTCACCCACCACCCACCACCACCACCGTGTAAGCCTTCAGCCACTGTTGATGGGCAAGTGCTGTTAGTAGCAACGGCTGCTATGGCATCAGCTAGGTGGACCCTGTCGGGGGTTGGGTGGCCGAGGACACGAAGACAAAGACGAAGGTTCCCCCTACACCCCCCCCCCCACCCCGTGTAGCCTTGGGATTTGGCGAGGGTAAGCGCCATCGGCGAGTAACAACGCCCATTAAAAAAAAGAGCCAGCACTGGGTGGGCTATGTTGGGTTGGTGTGGCCAGGATAAAAGAAGACACAGGGTGAGATGGGTAAAAAAAGATTCCCCACCGCGCGCATAGCCTGTACAAAAAAATACCCCACCATAGTTTATTTTTATATTGTTGGTTATTTCGGTAAAGGGTACGAAGGGAAACAATAAAATACCACAAATATAAAAGCAATAAAATAAAGTCTAGAAAAGTGTTCTCTTGCTGTGGTTGTCACACCTGATGATGATGATGGCTTTGTGTTGCAGTCGAAACGTCGGTGGAGACTTATTGTTATATATACGAATCGCTGCAGGTCACGAAAGCTTTAAAAATCTAAAGTTTATTTTTTTAGTTTAGGTAACGTGCGGGTCTGGGACCGTTGTTTGTGCTGCCTTGCCAAAAGCTCGGATATTTAAGTGCACACTAACAACAACAATAATAATAAGCGACTAGATTATGTTGCCAGGTCAGGTCCGAACCGAGGTGCGTTGTAGTCAAGTTAGAACCACCTGGGCCCAAATCACAACTTGATAGCAGCTCTACCACGTGGGCCGATATCATCATCGTCCAGGAGACTCGTAGAGAACCAGAGACCCTACAAACCCATAGGAGAACCACTCAAACCTAAAACTCTGCTAACGTTACCAGCTGTAAGGCCCCCCCCACACCGATGTGGCAAGCCCTCTTTGGTCAGACGAGCGATACAAACTGGCCCATCCGCAACATCAAAAGCAGCTCTACCAGGTGGCCCGATATCACCGTGCAAGTTGGACGCATTAACGAGATGCATTGGCGACTACCACAGACCAAACTATGTTTGCGTTTTGATTTAAAGCTTTCACGAATGCGGCGATTCATATTCTTGGTTCATTTCGGTAAAGTCACCACCACGTAGAAGGGAAACAATAAAATAAATATATATAAAACAATACAATTCTCACGACGTTTCATCACGCCTGATGATGACCGCTTGTGTCGCAGTCGAAACGTCATGAGAATTTCATCTGTTTTATATATTATTTTATTGTTTCCCTTCAACGTGGCGACTTTACCGAAAGGACCAAGAATATCCTTGTATATGTATTTCTACCGACAGTGTACCTCGTATTTGTCATTCTATCTATGCCGGTATGTGTGAACACGAAATGTAACACTCTTCTGAAATTCATGGTCCGCCAGGAAGTGTCTAACTGCGTTGTTGGCCTGACTGGATGTGCTTCCCGTAATGTTTATTTCAGGTTTGTCGAATTCTCGTCTCTCATCTTGTGTGTGTTGTATTTACCTCCGCGATTCGTTCTTGACACCTGATGAAGATCGCTCGCGTTGTGATCGAAACGTCGTGATTGTTTTTTTTTGGTTTTAATATAATTTTATTGTATTTCTACATACGTGACTCTACCGAAAAACAGTAATTTTACGCAGTCACAAAAGCTTTAATACTTTATGACCAAGAAAATATTTATGTTACCAGGTGCAAGATCCTACACCCCCTCCCTGCCAACCCCCTACTACTGCAACTCTGTTCAGACAAGCGGGAACACCCTGGGTCAACAACTTGATATCAGCAAATCAAGCTGCAAATTAGACCCATATTTAGGAGGACGGATTCAGAGACCCGACCCACCACACCCCAGCCACAGGACAACGGAATCAAAAGAGGAATTCCTGCAGCTACGGACGCTGCAAATCGACCGATCCAAGTTAATATTTACACCAGGGTTTAAGGGAACTCTCCCCCTCCCCCCCCACTCCCAACTGGAGGTGCCGTGTGGCGAGACCCGGCAACCCCACCACGTAGATGGCCGAGAGCTGCAAGTGACCGATATCATCATCATCATCATCAAAGTGGAAATTACACCCGGGGAGACGAACACCGAAACTAAAAATTCCAAATTTTGGATTTACAGCATTCGTGACTGCAGCAATTCATATTCTTAGCTCTGTCGGTAAAGTCACGTTGAAGGGAAACAATAAAATATATATTTTATAAATATTTTATAAAAATATATATTTTATTAAAATAATAATATGTTTTATTAAAGTTACATATTTTATTAAAATAATAAAATATATTTTATTATTATATTTTATTATTTTATTGTTTCCCTTCAACGTGACTGTACCGAAAGGAGCTAAGAACATAAAAATTCCAAGTTAATTTTTTTTTCGCCCAGGGTTTAAGGGAGGGACCTTCTTAAGCCGAGCTTGCTGGCTGTGTGGCTCTCGATCAGCCCCAAGCGGGGTTTGACCCCGTCCAATCCACAGCATGACGATAGCAGCAGCAGCAGCAGCTCCTCACCCAAGCGGCTAATATCACCAGAAACATCACCGCAACAAAGACAAAGGACCCTCCCCCACCCACCCCGTGTAGCCTTACGAGACTAGTGGCAAGTGCTGTTAGCGAGCACCTGTCAAGAACGGCACTGTGGAACACGAAGGGGGGGGTGGGTGGCGAGTGGGTGGCGAGTGGGTGGGCGATGGCGAGTGGTGAGTGGATGGCGAGTGGGCGGTGAATGGATGGTGAATGGGCGGTGAGTGGATGGTGAATGGGCGGTGAGTGGATGGTGAATGGGCGGTGAGGAGCAAGTGGGTGGGGGTGAGGAGTGGGTGGTG